TGCGGTAACACCGACATCCGGCATAACAACCAGCTACGCAGCGGTTAATCCACAAGTCTTTGGGATTGTTTAAAGGCATCCTAACTGCTAAAGTAAGTGAATGTGTTGTTTGGAGCACTTTTCATTTAGAGTATTGTAGCAAATCAGTTGAACTCCTTGGATGTTGATGCAGTGAAATGGTGCTACAGCTGCACTAAAGAGACAACATTAGGACAACCCCAAAACAGGAATGGTTTTCAAATTCAGGCCACTGACATTTGGCCCATCTAATCTTTATTTTCCAGTAGTTTTGTATTTCTTCATTGTAAGTCTCACTACTGCTAGTACGAGGAGACGCCCGGACCCTACAGTGGTTTTTAAAGCCTCCTACTCTACCAGGATGGCACCGCTAGAAGGTTTGCTGTGTCTTCCTGAAGTCTCAGTAACACGGAGGAGATTCCAGGGAAAAATCAGTTACTCTAGCAGAGTTGAACATGGTCATCAAAGGTTCTTAACCCACCTTTGTGCAAGGTGGAGCAGGATGAGTACTGCCAGAGCCCTACAAAGTAACCTCCAGCAGGCCACAGGCATGAATTTCCCCTACCAAACCATTAGTAACAGACTTCATGAGGGCAGGGACGGACTGGGACTAAAAAACAGCCCTGGACTTTGACTAGGCCCGGCCCAAAGTAATCGGTGCGCGGTAATTCGGCAGCAAAAACATGTGGTCAAACCATCAAAATTATAGCAACAGCGCTAATGTTGACTATATGTTGTATTAAAAGCTGTATTACTGATAAGCTTAATAATTTTTGCAGTAATTAATGTAGCATTCAGTCAATATCGAGAAGGCCGGAACTGATGGTGAATGATGATTTATTGAGCCGTCCGTATCATCAACCAACCAACGGTTCCGGCCTTCTCGATATTGACTGAATGCTACAGTAAGAGCTTGTTCCCCTTATCAACTGAAGCTAGACAGAAGTATTCCTCAAACTTTCTTTGTCTTCTTCTCCGTGAACCGTTAATAGCCTATCCTTTGCTCCGTCTTCACTTCTAATAGATTTCCGTTTGCTTCTTCTGTGTTGCGCCCGTTGCGCCTCCCTACTTGGCTACGGTTGCTATGACGCTATCAAAATAAAAGCCCGTATACCTTTGCCGTTGTTAAATATAAAGAAATAGTTCACCTTTACATTCACCTTTACACTCCCACCAAATTATTTACTATTGAACATATAAACACAAATAATTTTTCCATAACAATAACAGTAGCTTAACAGATACTTTGTATAAAATTCAAAAACAAAAAATAAATAAATAAAACATTTTCCAACACTTTAAAGCATTGTAGATTCAAACATTACAGTCTTCTAACAACAAGACCAACTTATGAACAGGGCGTTCTACCACAGACATTTTGCTGACACGTTGGCCCTTATTGTTTAGATTTTTGTCTGCAGAGGCTATTTTGACCTTTCTGACAAGTTCATCAGTGTCCTGCACAGTGTCCACGATTCGACCAAGTTTCCATTGAGAGCGTGGTAGCATGTCATCTTTGTCCATCACTATGTCTCCAATTTGCATGTTTCTTTTAGGTGTGTGCCATTTTTGTCTCACTATAAAGTTCTGAAGGTACTCTTTTCTCCATCTGCTCCAGAACTGCTCAAGAAGGTGCTGAACTTGGCGCCATCGCTTTTGTGCATACAAGTCCTATTTTATGAATGTTCCGGGTGGAGGCAGAGCACTTGAAGTTTTCATTGTGATACACTTGTCCTTGCAAATCTTTGATGATCACAGTTTCAGCTATTTTCCTTTCAGCTACAGTGGTGAGTGTCTTTGATTTGTCTTTGAGCAGATATCGTCTGAGACGTGCAACAGCACTAACTGCACGGGACCAGGAGGAGAACTTTGTGAGGTGGTCACTGAGACTTGCATGTTTTACAGCTTGAGTGTTTAGGGTCTGCACCTTTCTCACCTCTGGGTCTCCTACTTGGAGCTCGATAGTCTTTCTTGTTGGAAGCTGTATTTCTCCTTTCCACAGAAACTGAGGGCCGGTGAGCCAGTTGGATGAAAGCAGTTCCTTTACAGAAGTGCCCCTGGAAGCCATGTCGGCGGGATTTTCATCAGTAGGTACATGAAACCATTGTTGCGGTGAGGTGTGGCTCCGTATTTTCTGCACTCTATTCGCAACAAACGTGTGGAAGCGCCTTGCCTCATTATTTATGTATCCTAAAGTGACCTTTGAATCTGTCCAAAAGAACTCTTCTACATCATCGTAGAGCAGCTCCTCCTTTAGCATTTTGCTCACTGTGACTGATACTGTGGCTGCGGTGAGTTCCAACCTGGGTATAGTGGTGACCTTTGTGGGTGAGACACGTGCTTTGCCCATGACAAAGGCACAATGAACTTCTTTGTTTTTGTTTGTGAGTCTAAGATGGGTACATTGGCCGTATCCTGCGGTGCTTGCATCTGAAAAGTGATGTAATTCTCTTTTGATCACTTCTCCAAATTCTGCAGGAGCATAACATCTGTTTATCTGGACGTTCTTTAAATTTTGCAGGTCTCCTTTCCAGCACTCCCACCATGGCCTGAGGTGATCTGGTATTGGGTCATCCCAGTCTGTTCCTTGACGGCACATTTCTTGGAGAATTCCCTTGCCGTTGAGCACATAAGGAGCTAAAAATCCGAGGGGATCATATATTGCTGCAACTGCTGATAGGATGCCCCGCCTGGTTGGGGGTTGGTCCTTCAGCATGATGTTGAACGTAAAGCAGTCTTTCTCTACATTCCAATAAATGCCAAGGGCTCTTTCTGTTTGTGCCTCTTTGAATGTCAAGTCCTATGTTTTTGTATCTGTTGCCAGCTCTGATGTTGGGATGCTGTTTAAAACATCAGTGTTGTTGGATACAAACGTATGCAGCCTTAATCCACCCTTTGCACATAGCTCACGTGCTTCCTTTACTAGTTGAATAGCATCCTCAGTTTTTTGTACGCTGGTGACTCCGTCATCTACATAGAAGTCCCTGGTTATGAACTGTGAGCCTACAGGATATGCAGATCTGTTTTCCTTAGCCAGATGTTTGAGTCCATAGTTCGCACACCCTGGGGATGAAGCAGCGCCAAAAAGGTGGACTGTCATCCTGTATGCTTGTGGCTGGCTGTTAACGTCACCATCTTTCCACCATAAGAAGCGCAAATGGTTGCGATCATCTTCCTTAACCTGAAACTGGTGGAACATTTTTTCAATGTCGCACATTAGAGCGACTTTATGCTGTCTGAAGCGCACCAAAACACCAGTTAAACTGTTGATCATGTCAGGGCCATTTAGTAAATGATCATTAAGGCAGGTACCATTGTGCTTAGCTGAACAGTCAAAAACTATGCGCAACCTGTCAGGTTTCTTTGGATGATAAACACCGTGGTGAGGTATATACCATGTCTCACCAGGTGGTCCAATATTGTCAGTTTCTTCTGCATCACCTATTTTGATCATTTCATTCATGAATTTCATGTAATCCTCCTTGTATTTTTGATCCTTCATGAGTTTGCGTTTCAGTTGACTTAGTCTGCTTTCAGCAAGTTTTCTGTTAGTTGGCATTTGAGGTCTTTTCCTGAACGGCAATGGCATTTCATAATTTCCCTTTTTTGTTTGTACTATGCCTTCCTCAAGTTTTTGGAGGAATAATAGATCCTCTTGTGACACAGTCTTTTCATTTCTTTCAGCGTCTTTAAAGTCTCTTTCCAATACACGTATTGCGTCTGCTGGGGTGGAAGGAGGAACCTCTTTAACGGTGCATCTGTGACAAAGCCTGGTTGCCATGTCTGTTTTCTCTTCAGGGTCTGAGTTGCCTACAATGCTCCATCCCAAATCAGTCTGAATAGCATAAGGTTCATTATCTTTGCCTAAGATTACTTGTTTAGGTGCTAGAGCTCTAGGACAAGTATAACCTATGAGGAGACTTATCTCACAACTGAGAAGTGGAGGGATTTCATCTGCAATGGGCAGCAAGTGGCTCCACTGTTTGGCTGTTTCACATGTGGGTATGTGTTCTCTGTTAGCAGGGATGCAGTCCTTTGAATATGCCGTAGGAAGCTTTATGACTGTGGCTGAGTTATAGCCTCTCACCAAGAGATCAGACACCCTTTCACTGCTTACAACTGCATTTTTTCCCATCATGGTAGTCAGTTTTAGCTTTACTGGGTAAACATCTGCCTGCAGCTCATGTGTTACATCCTGATCAATGAAGACAGCATCACTCTGCATGTCTAATAGCGCATAAACCAGTTTTTCTTTGAGTGGGTTGTTAGCAGTTGACAGCCACACTGGAACTATCATTGATGTGCTGATTGTGTGTTCAGGTCTGGCAACATTGAGTGACATAGCCGTCGCTGCTGCAGGTGAGTTAACTTGAGTTCCATTATTTACACTCACTTGTGTCTCCTTTTGTAGGCCGTTCCAATAATTGTCGTCATGAAGACAGGTAGGATGCCTCTTTGAGCAGGTGTCACAACTGAAGCGGCGTTTGCAGTCTTTGGCATTGTGACCTTGTTTTAGACAACCATAACAAAGTTTTTTCTCCTTCACAAACTTTCTTCTGTTTTCTAGAGACAGTTTTAAGAAGTCTGGACACTTGTGGAGTGGATGTGCAATCTGACACAGAACACATGAAAAATCCTTTGATGTTATTATTATTGACTTTGTGTTACTTTGTTCCGTTGAATTTGTCTTAAAAACACTTGCTTTGTTCCCTTTTCGTTCTCTTGTGTTTCCTTTGTCGCTGTTATTTTCAGAGTAACGAAGGGCATGAATGGAGGTGAATGGGTTACATGCAACTTCAGCTTCAACAGAGAGAAAGGATGCAAAGTCACTAAAACTTGGAAACTCCCCACCTTCCATTAAAGTCTTTGTTACCTGTCTGTTCCATCTTGCATTTATCCAGTCTGGTAGTTTGTGCAGTAATTTTTGATTTTCCTCGCAGTCGTTAAGTATTTGCAAACCCTTTACATGAGGCATAGCGAGCATGCATGCATTTAGGAAGTCCGCAAAAGTTCTTAATCCATCAGCATCTCTGGACTGCACCTTTGGCCATTTTGATAGCTTCTCTCGGAATGATTTCTGTATAATAAAGGGCTGGCCGTATCTTTGGTTTAACTTGTCCCAAGCGTCCTTATATGCGGCTTCAAAACTCCCAAAGAACAGCAAAATAAGCAACTTGGATGTTTTCATAAACAAAGACGGTGTGCTCAAGGTTGGTGGAAGGCTTCAGCTTTCATCTCTGCCCAATTCAATCAAACAGCCAACACTCATTCCCGGAGAACATCACATTGCAAAACTGATAATCGCACAGTCTCATGAAAGAGTTAATCATCAAGGAAAAGGCTTCACCATGAATGAGATACGATCCAGTGGCTATTGGATCCCAAAATTGAGCCAAAGGGTTTCCTCCTACATTCGGCAGTGTGTGTTCTGTCGTAAACAAAGAAGACCAGGAGGAAGAAGAGGAGAGGAGGAAAGAACTGGAACGGCAGCGAGCCCGAGAGAGGGAGCGGGAAAGGGAAATTCAAGACCTAAAGGACTCACTTCAGGATGAAAGTAATGCGAGACAGGACATTAAAGATTCAATCAAATGCAAAGAACAAATGATAAGTGAACTTCAAGATAAAATTCAAAACACGTCAGATCTGCCAAGACGCTCTGAAAGAGTTAAAGTACAAACAGAAAAAATGATAATATATCTACGGGAACGAGAGAGGGAGCGGGAGCGGGAGAGGCAGCGTAGCGACGAGCTGAAGAGGAAAGACTCGGATACGCTCAAGATGCTCAGAGTGGAACTCAAGAAAGCCCAGGAGTCCCAGAAAGAGATAAAGCTCCTGCTGGACATGTATAAGTCTGCTCCAAAGGAGCAAAGAGACAAAGTGCAGCTTATGGCAGCTGAGCGCAAATCTAAAGCAGAGGTGGAAGACCTGAGGATGCGAGTTCGAGAGCTGGAGGAGAGGGAGAGGAAGGAGAGCAAGAAGCTAGCTGATGAAGACGCTCTGAGGAAGATTCGTGTAGCCGAGGAGACCATCGAGCATCTGCAAAAGAAACTGGCTGCCACCAAGCAGGAGGAGGAGGCCCTGCTGAGTGAGATGGATGTAACGGGGCAGGCCTTTGAAGACATGCAGGAGCAGAACAGCCGGCTACTGCAGCAGTTACGGGAGAAAGACGATGCCAATTTCAAGCTGATGAGTGAGCGAATCAAATCCAACCAGATCTACAAGTTACTGAAAGAAGAGAAGGAGGAGCTGGCCGATCAAGTCCTTACGTTTAAAACGCAGGTGGATGCCCAGTTGCTGGTTGTGCAGAAACTTGAAGAAAAAGAGGGAGTCCTCCAGAGCACGCTGGCTGCTCTTGAGAAGGAGCTGGCTGTCCGAACCCAAGCACTGGAACTCAACAAGAGGAAGGCGGTGGAGGCTGCACAGCTGGCAGAGGACCTGAAGGTGCAGCTGGAGCACACACAGGGCAAGCTGAAGGAGATCCAGGTCTCCGTGGCTGAGAACCGCACCGCTCGGGAGAGGGAGAGCAGCAACCTGAAACAAGCACAGGAGGATCTGTCCAGGCTGAGGCGGAAGCTGGAGAAGCAGAAGAAGGTGGAGGTGTACTCTGACGCGGACGAGATCCTACAAGAGGAGATCAATCAGTACAAGGCCAAGCTGCGGTGCCCCTGCTGCAACACGCGAGACAAGGTTTGTAATTATAATTCAGAATGTTGTTATGAAAACGGAACGTGTCTATATGATTGTATTAATTGTGAAAACGACTACCAATGTAATCAGTTATGCATTATGGTTTATTTTATGATTTATTTATTTTTTGTTTATGCCTAGCTCTTACGTTGGTTGGTTGATGATACGGACGGCTCAATAAATCATCATTCACCATCAGTTCCGGCCTTCTCGATATTGACTGAATGCTACAATTAATCTTCTTACTGCACAAATAATACCATATCTAAATGAAAATGCAACATTACAAATGTAACTTCTGTATTTAAGATTTTCAAAATTTGTGAGCATTAACTGTAACGCTACTACCAACCTTTTTTATGGAAAACCACAACATATTTCTTATTACTCACTGCATGTGGCCTTTTACAGCTAAAATGTTGAAATTTAGTTGTTATCATAAAATGAATTCCTAACATCAATCCTTGCAAATGTTTCTCCTCATACATTCCATATTTACTTCCCCTGAATCTGCCTGTGGAACCAGCGCGTCTTTCTGTCCCTCATTACTGCTGGCATGTTGCTTTGTAGCTATCTGCCTGACTCCACTGCTGTGAACCTGCTGCGAGGTGCTGCTGCTGGCTGTACTGCTAAATATGTCAGTTACTTTGTGACATTTAGAAGCTTCAGCATCTAATGCCCGCAATTTTTTTCTCTTGCCTTCTCAGCCCCACCCTTTTCTTTCCCGTTTTTTTTTTTTTTTTTTACTAGCGGCCGGGTTTTGCATCGGGTTTTTTTTTTCTACTGCCTTTGCCTCCTCTCCGCTTCAGCTTCTTCTTCTCCTTGCCTGGCGGCCACAGCCAATGTAGCTGGCATCCAACTTAGAGGTGCAGTGCTGCCACCTAGAGTGCTGGAGGGTGAAAGAGCTTTGAGGGGGGAAAAAAACAGGTATAGAGCTCCGGGAGTTGACGTCACTTCTCCCAGCATGCAACCGTTCAAATCGAAACTGCGCCATATTGGCAGGCAGAAGCCGGCAGCTGGACTATTTGTTATTGTCAGAAAACTCAATCAAACGGGAAATATGGTAGATTCCTGTTGTGCCCCAGGATGCAGAACAGATGCGGATGACATAAGGAATGAGCCATCTACAGGATTCCCCAAGATCCGGAGCGCTGCAAACATTGGATCATTGTAATAAAACGCGCTAGTGACTGGGCGAAAATGAAGCTGTGGGATCCTGAGAGTAAAGGATTTCGCTTATGCAGCGACCGCTTCATATCAGGTACTTAAACCAACATTTCCTCAACTGTGTGTGGTATTTATTTTAAATGCTTTTATTATGATTCTTAGTGGGCTTCCTAAACTTATTTTGGCGTGGCTTTTTCTGTCTTATTACTCATAGCAACAAGTAAACATCACGTAAAACGTTGCCTCGTGAGTTCTGCGTGCTGCCGTTTACGTGTCTTATGATCACAGCAATTAACCGGCTAAGCTGTATTTAATTTTTAAGCAATGGTTGATCAATTGTCAGATCACACATAAAAAGCACTTTGGATTGCTATTATCTGTCTCACTGAGACTACTTACGTGTAAATCTGTTATTTGTCCGTCCATCCATCCATTTTCATCCGCGTATCCGGAGTCGGGTTGCGGGGGCAGTAGCGTGACTTCCCTCTCCCCAGCCGCCGGAGCCAGCTCCTCCGGGTAAATCCCAAGGGGTTCCCCGGTCAGGTCCGGTGTTGTGCCGGTAAGAAGTCCGCTCCGACAGCTTCTGGCGTCGGAGCGGGCAGTAGAGTCGAGAGTCCCAGACCTCTCCCCAGCTCCTCCGGCCGGGGGAATCCCAAGGGGTTCCCCGGTCAGGTCCGGTGTTGTGCCGATAAGAAGTCCACTCCGACAGCTTCTGGCATTTTAAAAAAGTATCCCAGGGGCACGGTAAGGGTCGGAGATGTTTAGTCTATTTAATTTCTGACCATATAAAACGATTTCTTCTGTTTTAAAGTGTGAAGTAAACTCCGACGAAGTAAAATCCAAGCGGATCCCGTTCATGTTCATGGTTACATCTGTGTTTGTTTACCTTTTTTGCATGCCAAAATGGCGTCCACTAACTGAGAGTCACGTGGGGTCCGGAGCTCTATTGAAAACGTGCGTGGAGAGTGGTGGTCCGGCCCGCCGGCCGTCCTGGAGTACACAGATGGCCAGTCCACCCCTGCATGAGGGTAGCCTGAGGCTTTAACATCCTCTAGTGGGGCCCAGGTTCACTGCCTGGCACCATGGAACATTCAGGTCTCTGTGGTAGCAGATATCTGAACCCACATAAACAAAGAAAGAGATCCCATCTCCAGTCACAACAAATATTATTAAACAAAAATGTCTCTCCTCAGAATATATGATAACATAAAAGTGTCATGGTCCGGGGTGAGCTGCCTGTCAGTAATCTTGTTGTCCTCTGAGTTTTGTCTGCAGGTGGGCGTGTCTGAGAGCAACCAGCTGCAGCTAATCTTGCCATCAAGGCCCAGGTGTCATGGTCTGTGTCGGCGTCTCATCTCATGTGTCTCCTTTTGTCCTCCATTTGTTCTCTAGGTGCTCCTTTTGTTGTCCTCTAGCGCCCTCATGTGTCACGTCTGCGTCTCTATATGGTGTGTTCTGTTTGTAGACCTTTTTATCATCCCCTCAGGTCCAGTGTCCATTTAGTTATCCTCTGTGCCCCAAGTTGCAGCTCCAGCCTCTTTGTCCCCAGCTGTGTGTGGGTGTGTGTCCATTCCCCAGTTCAGTGTGTGTGTGTGTGTGTGTGTGTGTGTGTGTGTTGTGCTTGTCCTTTCCCCATTCCTGTTATATTAGTGCATTTGTGTGAGTGTGGTGTGTGTGTGTGTTAATCCTTCCCGCGGCCTTTAGGTTCAGTTTTGTGTTTTAGAGCCTTTTAGGTTTATTTGGCCCTCCTCTGTTTCTGTTTGCCCATTTTGATTATTAGGTTCACCTGTCTTCCCTCTAGCTCTCACTCCACACACCTGCCGCCATTTCCCCTAATCACTTCTCCCTGTGTATATAAGCTCTGTCCTGTCCGTGTCTGGTGTTGGTTCATTGTTGTTGCTGTCAGCGTGTTTTGCTGTCAGTCTCTCATTCCTATCTCTAGTTTATATTTTTGGACATTTTGGATTACTGGCTTCTCCCCTTTGGATTTATTTTTGTTTTGGATTCAGCCTGCAAAATAAAGGATTTTCTTATATTTCATCTCCTGTCTCTTGTCATCCTGGGTTCTGCATTGTGGGTCCTACCATCCGTAAAACGTGACACCAGGGGATTTAAGGAGCAGTGTGACACAACACCATGCCGGATGATTACTCTGTTTGGGTAGCTCTAGCCACTAACCTGTCTTGAACTTGTGTACTTTGTTAGAAAACCTGCCGCCTGAAAGATCCTTCACAATTCTTCCCTGCTCTCCTCCAGGTTTCACTCCACTTTCCCTCGTCTCCATAACCAGCTCTGATTCCTGCACTCCAGATCACACTGCCTTTCCCCTGGCCACCTGCTCTCAGCCGCTCACCTGCCCTCTCCCACCTCCACTCCAACCTCACCTTTGGACAAACAGTTTGTCACCTCCTGGATCTCCTCAGCTCTCCCGGACCTGATCAAACTCCCCTCTGAGCCTCCTACCGCTACTGGAAACAGTAAGCCTTCGTCCACATCAATATCTCCACAAATTCCTCTGGAATCTCACCCTGTCTCCCTCCTCAGAAACCCATCCGGGAATCCTGCCACCAGCATGCAGCGCCTTCAGTTCCCATTTCTCCTCTCTAGCTCGTTCATTTAAAATAAACCTTTTTACACTTACCTGGTTTCCCGTGTGTGATTCTGCATGTCATGGGTCAAGAAACTGCCTCCCAACATGACAAAAAGTCACAGGAGAAAACCAGGAGCCTCAGAAAATCTAAGATAAATGAGGAAACATGGTTTAATGGGGTTTTATTTAACTAAAGATCCGTCACAAAACTAAGATAACCAAGAAGACAAGTAATTTAACCTAAGCTCTGTAACTAAAAACGAAAACTAAATTGAAGGCCAAGGAATAACCTAAAACAACTAAAACTAGGTTGTTTTCCTGGTTTGGATCTGAAGCTTAAATATTTTAAACAGTTTCTAGTTCCAGTATCTACTCTACATCGCACACACCTTAAATGATTATCTAAAGCCTGTAGCTTATCAAAAATATACAGGTTCCACTGAACATTCAAACAAGTCAGAGGCCAGGGTAAGTGGAACAACAGCACCGATCTGCATCCTCACTAGCCCCCGAGCATGCGTCACCTGGCCTCCTTTAAAGGTGCTGCTCATTTAGCCGTCATGAGTGTGCTTCAGTACAGATGTGCAGGGCTCATCTAAGGGGACCACTGTCCAAGGTGCTGACTTACACTGGGAACATCCAGTGAGGAACTGTTCATGGTGCTGAATGCTCAGCGCTGTGCTGGACTGCAAACAGGAGAATGCAAAAGCAAACAGCACTCAGGTGGAAGCATGCATGATAATGATCAACATCATGTAGTAAGAGCATGCAGGCAGTTCCTGGAGAATGATACATGTGACTTGGCCCCATGCTTGACAGAAACGCATCCAAATTTAAAGTTCTGGTTTGTCATATTTTAGTCCATCATATGCAAACAGGTTGCACCTCAGGTCTGTCCAGGAGGTCAGTAATGAACTAGTCAGGATGTTGTAGATAGTGCAGTACCCCATCCATCAGCTCATAGGGAGCATGCCCCCATGCAGGCAGGCATGCACACAAGCACAAGGGCGTCATTAGCCATGTTTCCACAAAAATGAGTTAGAGGAAATTTCTGGGAGGGGAAGATTGACCAGTAGGTGTGATTTTGTTTATTTATTTTATTTATTTACTTATGTTTTTGGAGGATAGGGCCTCTTGAGATGTAGCCTCTCATTTTCGAGAGGGTCCTCCATCCATATAACACACAAAAAGAAAAGAAAGACAGCAAGTGATGGCTTGGTTCTCTCAGCTGTTGTGTCTATGTAAATTTCAGCCCTTTCAGGACTTTGCTAAGAATTCAGAATATCAAGACCATTTTGGCAGTGAGTGATTTCACATATCAGCAAAAAAAGGCATCTCAAGTCAAAGTCATTTTATTGTCATTTCTACCACATGTGCAAGACAG